GAGACAATTATTTTTTTTAGTGCTATGTTGAGTGCTGAATATTGACAGAGTATATAGATGGTTAAAATTATTTTATTTTTTCTTTATTTCACAGCTAAGACAGCAGTCATCCGAAAGGGATCCTAACCGCTAAACCTGGCAAACCGTAATACAGTGTTTTTTCAGTACTGTAATTAATTGTATTCGACAGAAGACGTAGGAAATCAGTTATTCTGATCTGTTTTGATTGTCACACGTTTAATTTGTTTGCCTCTCCATTCTGTCTTCTTTATTCTGGTATTTTAAAGTATTCTACACGCAAAACTGAACTTAAACAAATATATCTAATGCTTATGGTTACTTATGGTGAGTACATTAGCCTTTAAGTTGAAAAAAGTGGTTGTCGTGTTAAGTTGTGCCCATGTCGGGGTAACCGTTAACTGAACTAACATCTTATACAAATATATAGGACATTGTATGAGAAGGTTAAATAATGACATCCCAAACTAGGGATTGTTACTTGGTTGTCAGTAAAAATTTAAATATTTTTTACTATTCTTGGAAGAAACCCCTTTTTTTTAGATCGAAAAAAGTTCTCAGACATAATCATCGGAAAATAAATTATAAATGAAATATTGCACATTCGTTTCGAAAGTATTTCGAGAATTTAATTTTTTATAAAAATAAAAACTTTTACAGCATAAAATATTTGGCTCAGTCTGGATACACTGTATTCCTTTTTGAAGATTATTTTGATAGATTAATTTTTGTTGGAGACAATACCAGACAATTTCGCAGGTTGAAAATTTGTTCGCATGAACTGAGTTTGATTGTGAGTTTGTGTAAAAGAACATTACACACATGAAGAAGAACAAAACAAACAAAAAACATGTGTGGAAGGAATAGAACAAAAAAATTATTCATGTATTGGTTAATCACCTTTTCAACCGCTTTAAAAGTGATTGAATATTTCAATACTAATAATTAATTAAACCATGCGAAAAAGACTTAGACAAAACTGATTTTAATCAAGGGAATTGACCTAGTATGTCCGGTAACATTTTGTTTCTACAAATCTATCAACGAGTTATTATATTATAAATACTGAGTAATTGAATATGAATCACTTAAACGATTTGTGGATAAATGTATCACTTTTTTCTTATTGCTAACCAATTTTAATTTACTTAAATACATGTTGATAGAAACATTTTTGTTAATAGAGTTGAGTAAACTCAGAGCAAATGTTCAGTTAAAACAATATAAAGCAGTTAGTCCCACTTTTACAATGTACACTGAAGTGTCGATTTGACAGTTCTTACATACGAACTTACTTGAATTTAAATAGATATATATATTTACGTTTACTGAGTTTCTTAGTAAACTAAATTTTAAATTGAAGCAATAATTAATATAATCCATGTTATGCAGACAGTTATGGTCAAATTAAATATGAAATTGTTTTTTGTTTTAATTATAAATATAAAATTTTATAAATATAAAATAAATATAAAATTTGAAAATCAAAGAGCACGACAAACATTTCTTTAGTTACGGTAACTAGGCTTTGTGTATCTCGTCACATTACTTAAAACAGTGTTGCCCATTAATAAATGTGATAATTTATGTAAAAATGTGAGATTATGTAAACATATCTATATTAGTTCCCATAGATCCTATGTGAAACAAAGGGCCACTTTATGGTTTCGATAGTAATCAGATAGTTGTATCTATCTAGTAATCAGATTATTGTGTTATAAATTAACATATCTACAAAATAAATATTACATTTTCACAAAATATAAAATCGGAAAGTATGAAAATAATAGTTATAATCATAATCACCGCTAAGGATAGCGGAAGGATACCTGCTTACTTTTTATAACTATCACCGTATAATTCCCAACATTTTGAACTTTTAAAATGGGATTATTCTCCATTATAAAGTTTACAAATTTAATTGTAGGAACACATTGATATGATTCAGTTGTTTTTAAAGAACTTTTAAATATACATAGATCTTGTAAAGGAAAATACACTCTATCTATTGCAACTCTATTTCGTTAATATATAATGTATGGTTTTTTCTGTGTCCAAAATCAAAAACAACATAGAATGACCAAATAAATTCTCACATAAGCTCTCAATTGACAATACAACTATTTTAGGATTAGACGTTATATAATTCATGATCAACAAAATTATTTAAAAATTAAAACCGATTTTTGGATTTTAAATATTTTTTTGATTCAGAATTACTTATAATAATTAAATATTTATATTAATATAAATATTTCTACTTTGGACATCAATATTAGGAATTCTTCTGATGAAGGCAAAAGTGAATTTACCGAAATATGTATAGAAATATATGTACTAAAAACAACGATCGAAATAAAAGTTTAATTTCTGAAATAACAAAACTGACTTCCAAATATGATTCAGTTATTCTAACATAAAGCGTGGCTATATACTAGTCAATTTCAAAAGTTAGAAGCCTTAATATGAATTTTTGAATACAAACTAAATCTAGAAAATTTATAAAATAAGCCAAACATTGGAGCTTGAGATTTTATAACCAGGTTTATGGCAACAAAACGACACCTATGCGTTACTTGAATAGAGAAAGAAGCCCGGTCGCCATCAAAACTATCCAACCAAATATGTTATGCAAGAGTCAAGATTTGGATAATGTTCAATTTTACAAAACAAAAATATAAAACTACAGCTATATAAAGTATATGCTAGTATACTTCAAGAATTAGAAACTCTTATATGGACATTAAATTACAGATCATTATAAAGCTTATCTTAGGCTTTGATGACCGGATGTGTGTGGTAATAAAGTGATGCTAGTGCGCATCACCAATCAAGGAACCAACAATTTTAAGAAACATTCAAGATTTGGAAAAATCTGTTCTTATTAGAATTTTCTTTGAAAGCAGGTGGTAACACATACACTGCAACCTAAAACCTCTATTCTATACGTACTACTTACTATACAGTGCTATTGTTAGTTAATGAATGAATGATGTCCGTAACTTAGGAAGAAGTTCAGGAAACACATGCATATAGACTTATACATTATATTTGTAAATAAAACATGTAAAGTTTGTGAAATTATTATATAATTTGCAAAATTGTCATTCAATTTGTGCAAATGAATTCGTTATTCGTTATTCGGCGTGTGGACGTTAAATAATTTTTCTAATAACTCATGTTAAATCCTTGCAATGCATGCATGCAGTCAATGGGATACAAAGCTTCAAAGCAGCAGTTCATTAAAACGAAACTATGCTTGCTGGAAACTAGCTTAACTTATCCCAGATGTGACAAAGTATAATTTCAAAATTGCTTTGAAAATATTACCAAAACCATAACAACACCGGTCGCGGCGAAAGAAAAACACAAAAACAACATTTCATGCCTTGTCTTGTCTGAAAAGCTTTTCCTTAGAGTACTGGTTCATTTTTTACATAAGCATGGTCGGATCGTCGTCTTCGTCTTTGTCGTTGTCGTTGTCGCCGTCATCGTCATCGCCATTGCTATCGATATCGCTATCAGTACGAGTACACGCAATAAAAAGTTTGTTGCTGTTGTATTTGTATTTGTTGTTTAATGCAGGCAATGTGCGCCAATTAAAAAAGCCGGTAACGTTTATACTATGCACGTAAAGCAATAATTAATACGAAAAGAAGCAAAACAAAAAATAACAAAAACAATATTTTTTTATTGAACACTGTGTGCATCTACTAAACAAAGGTGTGAAATACAAAATAATAATAAAAAAAAAGTAATAATAAAGTAGAAATATGATTTTTTTTAAGTATGACAAATAATAGCAAATAGCAAAAACAATCCCTAAATTCTTAATGTGTTTTTGTAATTTTACTTGTTGTTGTTTTTTTTTTAATAATAATTTTATTTTATTGTACATACATAAACGAAAACATTTTTTACATTTTGCTTTAAACACTACACTGCGCTTACACTACACTTCACACTTCATTTAAGCATATATCCCGAAAACACTGGCACCCTAATAATAATAACTTCCGCATATTGTAAATTTATTTATTTTGTTTAGAAGGAAGTCATACACTTACGCTGTGCTCTGTACATATACACAAAAATATGGCACACGTTTATACATATCTATAATTCCATACGCGATAATAGACAAAGAATATTTTTGTTGCAAAATTTGAAAAATTATATTTCCTACATCAAACCGACGACGGTGTTATTAACTGAATCAAGCCATGCAGATTGGTTTAATGTTTGCTTACAGTGTGTCGTTTTTTCTCTTCTCTTCTTTATTCTTGTTTTCGTTTTATTCTTGGTTTTGTATTGTATATTTGTGCGTTAATACATACGGCAAATGGAATTTAAAACATGCTGTATAATATAGCATGGCATCATTACATACATATGTATACGCAGATGTAAGATATGCAGCAATGAGGTATTTTCGAGATTGGTTCTCCGTTGCTACATACAAAGTTGTATTGCTGTCTGTTGCAAACAACAAACAGCGCAACGCAGCGCAGGCTGCACAGCGGCATACTGTGCTGTACTGCAATAACAACAAAAAAATGCAAGAGCATTATACTGGAAGAAACAAGAATAGAAGAGCATACAAATTAAACTAAAACAAGAGCCATAATACAGAAACGGCTGCACGAACAACACAAAATAAAATTATATAGAAGTCGAAGGGTGAAAAACTCACGCAAAGAAGAACTGAAAGAAAATGGGGGAAATAAACAAAGTTCCTTTGTTTGGCTTGTGAGGAACGGTATGAAATTGAAGTCTATTGCGGGAGGAGCTCTGTATAGTTTAAGATCAAGCGAAAAAAAAAAAAAGAAAAATTAAAAAAACAAAAAAGCGAATATATATCTTATTGTGATAAGGTTAACAAAACCAAAGCTTGCAAATATTTTGAAAATTATGATTTTAAATGCTACATAGTTTGTTAATTTACAAACACACAAAAATACGGCTAAATTAAGCGCACAAACCTGAGTTGATAGTAGTAGTTCTAGTTAAGGCGGAAGACGCCATTGGTGCAGCCAGAATTCAAATATTAAAAATTGCTTCCTTTTATTTTTAGAATATATTTTTCTTAAAATATTACTCCTTTAATATAGTTTTTCTTATGGATTTACATTAATATTTATTCTTGTTTTATTTGTTTATGCATTCCTGTGTAACACTTTTGTTATCATATATAAATTTTTTTTTTTTTTAAATATTTGAAACAAGTAGTTTAATTCACTTTCAACTGAACGCAATAATTAATTATTTATATATCCTTTTTGAGATTTTTTTTTATATATTTCTTTAACTTTATATTTAATGTTTTCATTTAAGAATTTAGCGTATAAAATTAATGTGTTAGAACGCGCCGCTCTCATTCAAACATAACTACTGCAGCAGCTAAACAAAACAAACTGAAACCGAAACAGAAAGAACAGCAGTTGGCACCTATGAATAGCTAAAATAAACGTAGAAACGGTACCACACTCACCACTTTTACATTAATGAACCTTTTCTGTGTAAAACACAAAGTTCCAAACTGCTTCTTGGTAATTATTGTGTATTGTGTTTTTCATATATCCAAAGAAAATGTACGTTTGCAAGCAAAGAATATGAGAATAAACAATATTTTGTGTTGTGTTACGCACAAAGCGGATTTTGCAAATGTAGTTTAACAAAAGCAATATAAAAATGTTTAAAATGTTGAAATTTTTGATAAGGGTTATATATTTTATTCAAAATATTCAAAATCACTTTTTTTAAATATTATTAAGAACTTTTCTTATTCAAAAATAATTTAGTACTTAAATTTGAATTCAGTTTATTGCTTTTTATGTTTGAGATTTTATAAGAGTTGCCAATATTTATAATGAATATTGTTTAAATCATCCAACTTGTGCAATACTTGCAGTTTTAGACTGCATTAGCTGTATAATATTAATATCCATTTCGCACGAAAAAGAATATATAAAAAAATTTGTTTTTTTACAAAATTTTCAATATTTTATTTCAACTTTTTATGTGAAATAAATGCTAGTAGCAGGCAACCAAAACCTATTAGTTTTTTTTCTTTTAATTTGTTTTGAGAGCTATTGCATTTATTTATTATTAACAAATATTCTTAGTTTTTACTAAAATATATATAATATAATAGTATATATATTTTTATTTAATAACTGTTATATACAGTCAACAAAAAATTTTATTTATATTTAAAACTATTTCACTTATTTCACTTTTTAAAGTGAATTTACATGAAAGTTTTGTTTATAATTTCAGCTGTCATGTTTGTAATTTTAACTGTCAATTGTTATATATAATTAACAAGGCTATAATTAAAGTCTTGTGTGTCATTACTGCAGAATACTTTTATTATTGCATTATAAAAAATTAGAAATATACCTATAAATATCCTCTATTTAATGCAGCTTTATATATAGTTCATTTAAGTAGAATTTGTCAAAAAAAACATCTTGGAAGCATTAAAATTATTAACATTTAATATATATAAGGAGTGATTTCATTATTATTGTTTAAAATATATATAATGAATAACTATGTATATTAAAATTATTCTGTATAAAATTCTTTAAAATAAAGTATGTTTAACATATGAAAACAAAACTGATGTAATTTATTATAAAATACGAGTTGATTTTGGTAGTTAGTCTATTACGAACTTAGAAATTTGGAAAGCAGTGTTGCTTTCATAAATGCACTTTACTTTGTATATATTATAGTGCATAGTTTCAGGCTGTTGCAACGCTTTCATGAACAAAAAACGCAGCATATCGCAAGAAACAAGAATGTTAGAGGATTGTGTGAGTGTGAAGTGAAGAACAAGACATTAATTAAATCGAGCACATCAATAAGATCTCTATTGGCATTCTCCAAAGTTCTTTATACAAATACAAATGACTACATTCAAAAAGATATTTGCCAATATTATAAATTTAACGATATACATATGTTATAAGCCAATGTCATAAATTTAACAATACATCATATTATGTATACAACATCACAAAATTAGAAAGAGCAATTTGTTTATAGTTGAAACAAAAAACCGGTTTGTAAGATGGTGCAGTAATAAGCTGAAATTAAGCACAGCCTTAGGTCCATATACTGCTGGAGTACCCGATTGACGGCAAATGCCAAAATCGTATAAGGATAAAATTAGATATTATGTAAATGAAGTTAGGTTTTTCTTATTAGTTTTCTTATAATTATTTATAATATTTATGTTTTATATATTATAAATTATTGAAAATGTTAATTTTGTAAATGTAAATATAACCTTAATTTAATAAAAGAAATACTACTACTACTGCTGGAGTAGAGGGAGCTAATTAATACCTTTTCTTCATTTAATTTAAGTTTCTTAACATATAAAACACTGAAAGCAGCTATATATTCAAAGTAATAACTATTTAAGAAGAACAATGGCTTTATATTTAAACAACAGATATAATTTGATTGCCTGCAATGTAGCTGCCCTGTAAACTAAAACACCACCTTACGAGACTGGGCATGCAAACTGTAGATTCTGCGAAGAGAATGAAGAGTCAGTCAGACATGTACTGTTGGAACGCCCTACGCTAATGCACACACGGAATAAACTTCTGGGAATGTACCTTCTTACGGAAGAGGCAATAAAACTTTGTACTATAGGTTCTATATTACATTTTATCAACGCAACAAGGTTTAGAGACATACTCTAAGCCTAGAAGCAGGTACAATAGACCGGATGGTTGCAGCGCTACATCCCCTCTCACTAATAATAATAATTTAACCACGTTACGATATTGATAGGCCAATATTTTTAAATTCAAAACGTTTCGCTTAAACTTTTCCCAGTAATTAGCAAATATTATAGTTGCTTAGAATTCAACGTGGCTTGTCTTGATTTGAGAATTTTCAAAATATTTATCACGTGGTTCTTTCACTGAAGATACAGACGTCCTTACCTGAAATATCTTCCAGATTTCTTCCAGTTTAAGCAGAAGTTTATTTCATAGAAACTTGACTCAAACGTTGGGAAATACAAGTGGCAACCATTTAGTCCGCTCTTATCACATTTACGTTAACCGAAGAAACTGCGTTTCAGTAAGTTTTATCTGAAATATCATTGCACAGTACTAGCAGAGTTATATATCTCGATATGCATTTAAATAGAAGATTAAGCTGGAGATAAAAGCAAAAGCAAAACAATTTAGTATGAATATAAATAAAATGTATTGCTTGCTGGGTCTAAGATCTTATGTAAAGCTATTATAATATCAATCTGGACATATTTCCATATGTTAAGGAGTACAGTAACTAGTTGTCTTGAAATACTGTATATATATAACGGTTTCAGTCCAAAATCTCTGAATAAATCAAGCAAGCCCCTAATTTCCATATATAAAAGTTATGTTTTTACATTATAGTTCTATATATCTTCAAAGATTAAGTAACCAAATATAAATAATATTTATATAAATAATATTTATATAAATAATATTTATATAAATGAATAGACTGTAAATAAATTGTATTAAAGTTTTTTTTTAACTTCAACAAATACATTAAAAGGAATGAAAAGAAAAAAACTCATCAAAGAAATTAAGATAGTCTTTTTTGAGAAACTAAGCATAAGCTAAGAATAGAGTTAGGGTATACCTATTGACCCTTTGTGTTAAAGAATGGAGTTACTGATTTTTCAGTAAAATTTTTACAGACAAGAGTGAACATTTCAATAGGTGTGGAATTTTAAAAAGAGGGGCTCATCAGTATAGGGTAAAGACCTATATCGTATGACCTCTTTAATTTAATCATTATCATTCATAGCTATACAGTTCATGTAGGACCTAAACTTGTTTTAAGGCATTCCTCTACTCTTCCCGATTTTTGGCTCTAATCTTCCAATTTATGACATTCACATCTCTCAGATTTTGTCGAATACTGTCTACTATATCTATTTCTCGGTCTTTCTTTTTTTTCTCACTGTCCTAAGTTCACTCTCGAAGTTTCTGACCACTGCATCTGCACAACGTATCCTATCTACTTTAAGCGTTGCTTGAAGTTGAACCAGTTCTTCATTATATCTTATTCGATATTCTCCGTTTTTTCGCACTGGTACTAACATTTATTTGAGGCACTTCGTACATAAGTATGGAAAAAACTTTCTATGCTCACTGTCGCTATTATAACCGTAGAAACATTGAATCATTAGTTTTGTATATGCCCAGCTCTGCTTAGGACTGCCCCTCAATTTTTCAAGCATTTTAAGCTGGTAAATTAAAAGGAATTAAAGAGGTACTAAAATACTATTACCCCTTATACTATAATTTCTAAACATTCCTAGCTGAACGATTTTGTATTAAAATCATATTGAAGTATTGCGCTTATTTTGCTACTAATATTCTTTCAGTAAAGAATATTTAAGAAAATAATGAAAATTAATTACAATAGCAAAGTTCAGGCCGTTTCTAAATCAAATGTTGACCACTCATCTTTTACGAGAACGACTAAACATCATACCTTAACACATTAAACCATTCAGCAGTCAGACAAAACTAAATATATTTTTATATATATTTTAAGCAGCTCATTTACTGCTTGCATTAACAAGCGGTGCAGTTATCCGAACGGAAACCACTCTGGTTTTAACTCAAAAATGATATCAGTGGGGCCACTTGTTGAACAGTGCGATGTCCCAACTCCCCACAATATATATATTAATATATTTTAAGTTCTTATTTATTATTAACACGTTTTCGCTTCTACTCAAGTCCCTTCTTTGTGCAAGGATATATAGTCCCTACATCACTTATTTACGTAGCAAGCTCTTTTCTTTTCATTCTTATCAGACCATTTTTATTTAAATATTGGCTTATAGAATAAGAATTACTCATTAAATACAAATTTGTGAAAAATTCTATCTGGGAAAGGAAATGGAGGTACTACGTATATAGTAAGAAATTTTCTAAATCTTGAAATTTTATTTTTAATCAAGTAAATTCGTGGGGTCGCCATACAACTGCTTCGTGTTTTGCAAATATCCATTGTCAGTAGTCTTCGGAAACATCTATTGGTTTAATTGTCCATATATAATTATTGCACCACTTTGAACCCTTCCAATTTTGAACCGTTGACTAGCGTACTATCACACAAAGCCAGCATGAGCTTGATTTTCGTTATTTAAAACAACAATTACATTTGCTTTGCTACTTCAAGAACTAACGTGTAACCAACAGCTATATAAATTTACTTACTTATTAATTTATTAATAAATTTACTTAATTATTGTTTTTCGAAATTTAAACACTGCTTTATGATTAATTTTTAATTGTTTGAATGCATAAAAATTTTGTAAAATATTTGTAAATAGATTCAAAATGTATATATTTATTATTATTCTATAAGAGTGAAGACTTAATAAAAAAATTTAATTATATTTATATAAAAAAAATTATCATCTATTTTACCAAAGACTGTAAAAGTGAATTAAAAAAGTATTAGTTCCCTAATGATACATATCCATTTTAGACAGCTATAAGAAAAAGCTTAATTACCATATTCTTATAAAACAGATACTTATTACTTCCACCCGCTTTCAGTTATCGTTTATATGTAATATAACTCTTTAGGGTCCCAACCTTTTTTTTTATAGAAAATTATATTTGTACTCTCCGCTGAAATAAAGTTGGCTTACTGCTATAATCCCTCTATCAAAGGATAATATTTTATTATATTATATATTCCAAGCTATACACACAGTATATGTGAGAAACTGCGAGAAGGGGTGGAAGACTGATGAAGACTTCCACACATGAAATTCAAAACTATTAATATATTAACCGTCTGTCTGTCCGTAATTGGTGCTTTGTTCTCTAGAGAACTGAGTTTCAGTGAAATAACTTTATGATAACATTAAGAACAGAGTAAGATATAGGTACTACTGTATTATAATTATATTGGAAGAAATTATAATCAAATTATTAAACCCCGAAACTGAGTTGAGTTTTGAAGATGGTTTAGACACATCCTCTGTTTAAACAGAACCCCTTATTAACTTGATAATATACTTCCACTAGTTTATTTTGGTATACTGTAAGGTAATTGTGATATATGCAATCTAAGGTTAATAGTTAATATATAAAATGTTATAGAGAAATCGCTTTCGTTAAATGTGAGCAAAGAGTAAGAAAAGGTACCTGCATACAAATCAAAGACAAGGAATGGCTGACGGGTTTCTGAAGAAATTCGAATTTTTTATAACTTCCTGGTATCAGGAATTGTTTTTATTGCCTATAACCAGCTGTATTACCGGACAGACGGATTGTTTAAATGGCGTGCATTCTTTAACTCCTATTAAGTTCGTAAAATTGCTGATGGTAAAGTTCAAGGGGTCAAATTTGACATAAGCCGTAAACTTTTCACATAGACAAACATTTATTTTTTTTCTCTTTATTATAGGGTGTCTTTTTTAAAAGGTGTAGTATTTCTATTTGATATGAAACAATTTTTTTTTTTTATTCGACAGATAATTTCATATTATTAATGAGAAAAATGATTTCGTTTAGTTAGAGACTATTATATTGGGGAACTCTCTCTAAAGTTTTTCATAGTTTTTTAAATGTTTGCTGCGAGGACTAAAATTGTTACTTGAAATTATAATTTTAACATACAGACTAATGGCTTTATATACTTCCACAACAAATGCTCTACCAATATTTAATCGAAGGTCTTTAGTAACCAAATTCTTGATTTCAATTTTCTCCGTCAGCTAAATCACTAGTAAGTACAGCCACCGCCACATCCATTATAATTTGAGAATTACGAGCTTTCCTCAACGATTTAGCTAGGCGTGTCAGGATGTAACTCAAATGAGTTCTTGAACATACAGATATCGCAGGCAATTTAAGACAGAAGAGATTGCCAAGGTAGGCGCTGTGCTCCCTGATATTCACTTCTCAAATATTGGCGTACCACTTGCAACAGTTGAACTGGTAATGAAACATAAATAAAATAAAAAAAATAAAAGCAAAATAGACTTGAAAGATTACACTATATGTCGATTGATGGAGATAATGTAGTCATCGCACACTTGCTTTAATAACTTATGAATTTCTCTAGCCACAGTAAAGGTGCCGGCTTTATGCGAGCTACGTGATTAAACATACTTGAAAAATAAAATATTGTTTATATTGTATATAGTTTTTAGAATGCATCAGACGTAGAAAATCATTTTATTAACAAAGTTATTGGAGCACCGGATCATAACCTTGTGGCATAACAATCTATAAAAATTTTTTAAGTTAAGTTGGTGTGGCGGGCTTGTACCCAAGAAAGCCTACTTGAGCACATATGATGACCCGTTGTACTAAGTGTCAGTATACGACTAATAATGAGATAAAGATAAACTAATCTGACAGTACTATAAATGTCACTAAGTCCGTAATTTTGCAGGATGACACCTCGGTATATCTGTGGATGTTCACTGTCTCATGCAATGGAGCACAGTTTTCTCCTTATTATCAAAGCTACAACCACAACAAAAATCATTATAGGTAAAACCCAGTCTCATGACAAGCCTACCTATTATACAGTGACCCATCAGCAAATTTCTTACTTGACGTTAATTATACATACATACACAAGCGTAAATATTTCATAAATACTGCTTAAACATGTCTTTGCTTGACGATTTGTCAAATATTACTCACTGTACACACTGGCAAAATTTTGGCAAGTGAATAATTTTGTGTTAGGTAAAAAATGAGAGTATATACAAAAATCTTGTCAAATACTAGCCAATGCAGTCGTCTTAGAATATTTAATAAAATGTAGCACTGCGTCTATACTGGCTAGACTTCGGCAACATTTTTGTATACACTCCACCATTATCACTACACATGCAAATTGTTGATTGCAAACAAAATTCGAAAATTTCTTTCGAAATTTGCATTCGAATATAATAAATGATAATAATAAATGGTAATAAATCATATTATTTAAATAATTAAGTGCCGCTATATTGAAAAAAGTACTTACTAAGAAAACATCCGGTATTTTATTTCCAGTTATATGCTGTAAAACTATTTGTTTTACTGGCATTCACTTTAAATTTAAAACACTAATTACATTAATTACGCAGAACATTAAAGTTAATTAGTTAATAAAATTAATTAGAATGTTGTTCACATATAATTTTTAAAAAGTGGTGCGCTATTCGAATGATGCTTAAACAGTGGTCGCTTTTCTGTAGTTATGGCGGTTGTTTGAAAGAAAAGAATATATTAAAACTATATGTTTCTTTTCCATATGTCCATATGTTTCCCTTTCTTTTTAGAAAGGGACAAACGTATGTAGGTATGTTTCGTTGAAAATGTTGAAAATATTGTACTTCACACTTTTGTTGTTCGTCGTTTCATATAAAAGTAGCAAATCAAAATTGTGTGATGATCACTACACAAGCATGGAATATAAATGCTACCAGCTATTTATCGGCTAATACGTTTTGAGAAAGATCATAAAGTTTTGGCAATGTATTTGTATATTGCTTCCATATTTAACGAGTGGGTAAAAACGGTTTATCAATCGTATTTTCAAGAATAACTATTGTCAAATTTTATTACTCTGGAAAAATAAACCAAATATTTTTAAGGTTTCATTCTCTAATACCGTGTTTGCACTGTTTACTTAGTAAGTGTGACTTACTAATAGCACGATTTTTATGTCTCATTTATTCAGTTTTGCACATTAAGGCCACTAATGAGAATAATTCGTCATACAAAGAGCTTCCACATAAATGAGCTCATTTTAAATAAATCAACTCATTTAAAATAAAAAAGTCGGTTTTTTTCCATTTGAATATTTAATAGATGTAAAAAATACATATATGTATATATAAAATAAATACCTTAATATGTCAATCACATTTTTTTTTAATATATTATTTAGTAAAATTCATGTACTACAAATTGATAGTAACAAGATTTCAAAAAATCAGTGGCAAAGAGAAATACATATTAGTATTAAGTATAGTTTATCTCCTTTATAAATTAAGACCGTGTGTGAGTTCGAGTAAATTGAGGTAAAGTAAATTGAAATTTCCTAGGGATTTTTTGCACTGTACTTATGTAAATATTTATTTATTTATTTATTGCACTTATTTATTATTTTTGGTTGAAAGTTTTCAAATTTTTTTATTAATTTATTAAACATCGTATAAAATTTTTACAATGGTAACTAATTTACTTAATTTTTATTTAAGTAGAGTAGGGTAACTCGAAATTCTAATAAATACCAACATTCGCTACCATACCGACATAATTTACTATTTTCCTCAATTTACTATCCATTTACTTGAACTCGGTCACGGCCAAAATTATGTGAACAGCTGATTTATCACATGAAAATTTGAGCAACTCACGCAATGTAGTTTGAGTTTACATGAGTTTTATTGCTTCTTCGTTACTTTATTTTACTCTGCTTATATTATGTTTTCACTGCTAACTTAGTGAGTTACTTAAGTAACTTTAAGATTAAGTCTTCCATTGGTATAAATTACTAATCACATGTGGAAGAGCTTTTATGTGTCAGAAAGTTCTGTAAAGTTCCAAAGCGTTTCTTTATTTAGATATCAATCGTAAGCAGATCAATTTTTTAAATCGCTAATTAATGGTTAATTGAGGATAATAGTAAATTATGTCGGTATGGCAGCGAATGTTGGTATTTACCAGAATTTCGAGTAGGGTAAATTAGATAAAAATTAAGTAAATTAGGTATTACCATTGTGAAAATTTTGTAAGATCTTTAATAAATAATTAAATATATTTGAAAACTTTCAACCAAAAATAATAAATAAGTGCAATATATAAATAAATAAATATTTACGTAAGTGCATTGCAAAAAATCCCTAGAAAGTTTCAATTTTCTTTACCTCAATTTACTCGAACTCGCACTCGCCGAAGTATTATAAATTTGGCAACCATATAATATTCTCAGCATATCCATTGAGCACTTGTAAGCCCTGAAGCAATTTTAACATCTGTGGTTTGTTTTTGTTTAATATGAACTTTTCGATAACTTATCGAATTCAATAAATACTTTCTTTTTATAATTTGTACAAAAAAAGTCTTATAGATATTAAAAGCAATATAATGGCAGGCAATGAGTATATTTATAAATAATTTTAATATAATATCTATGATAATCAATTCTTAATTTACAGTATTAAAGTAATGGCAAAGTCAATTGTATGTGAGGACAGCATATTGCAGGGTGACATCACTATTTTGCCGGGATGTGTAATACATCCAAGCGTAACAATCATAGCAGAGGCGGGCCCTATTATATTGGGCGAAAATTGCATAGTGGAAGAGTACGCATCAATAGTATATCGCCAACAAATGAAAACTTCCAGTACCGGAAATGCCAGTTCTGCAACTCCGCTTGTTATTGGGGCTAACAATGTTTTTGAAGTAGGATGCACAGTTGAAGCTCATCGTATTGGTGAGAAAAACGTTTTTGAATGCAAGTGTTATGTAGGGCCAAATGTTGGAATCTCTAGTGGATGTATTATTGGTGCGGGGGTACAAATAGAATCTGCTCAGGACTTACCCGAGAATACTGTTATATATGGGAAGGAGTGTTTACAACGTGAAGCAATGGATAAACATGGGGTTTGTATTGATATATTATTTATTTTATATTATTATTTGAAAGAAAACTAGAGTTTAAAGCAATAGGTAGTTGAGACATAAAAAATTTTTCATTTTTTGCATATGATGCCGTTATAAACTAAGAACTGCATGGTTAAACATTTAAATACACAGTTTTTTTAATAATAATTTATACGCAAATATATATAAATATTAATTAATTAATTTTTATATTCTTCATATAAATTTTTATTTTTCAGACACAAACATTGCAAATTGACTTCTTGCGAAAAGTACTACCAAATTATCATCATTTGCGCAAGCAAAATCACGATCCAAAAAAATCTCGGAACGCTGTTTAAATCAAAAATATAGCAAATACTAAATCTATCGTATAGCATTTTATATAATTGAAAAAATAAAAATAACTATAAGTTTTAAATGATTGTATTTATTAATTTATACTGCCCATCTTATGTTAATATTTTGAATGAAGAATGAAAATCGTTTTGAGGATTTAATTGTACAATCGTAAATATTCTTTAGTTATTTTATACCACATCGTGATATATTTTTAAAAATTATTTTGTAATGAAAATGTATTATTTGGCAATAAATAAACTGTTTATAACATATACACATATGATTAATTTTAATTGCTTGACTAATTAATGAAGTACATTTTTAAAACCAAATATGCACGAATTTTCCTTTGCTTCCTGGCAGTCAGGACATTACAAACTTAATTATATTTTATATGAAACAGGAAAACTTTAAAGTCGGAATTTATGAGCTTTTCAATTATCAAAATTAAATTATAGGCAAAATATCTGAAATATTTAACCAGAATTAGTTAAACAGTTGTAGGAAAATTTTTATATAACACAAATATTAAACACAAACATAACACAAATATATTAAAAAATATTTCAAAACAATAAGTATATAATTATAATTATATTGTGACTTTAATATACATATATATGATATAATAAATATATATTATATATACATATATACAATAATTAAATCATATATATAATTATAATATATTCCACAGATATTCATTTCCATAATGAAACATTCTATCATTTTGTTAATATTAAACGATTTATTTAATTAAAATAATTTATTTATTAGTTATAAGTAATTATATATTATAAATAAATTATTAAATTAAATAAATAATATTATTTAATATAATCCACAGCTGTTCATTTCCATAATGAAGCATTTTATAAATTTATTAATATTAAACGATTTATTTAATTAAAACAATATAATTACTAGTTATAAGTAATTATATATTATAAATATAACGGTAAATAATATATTATATATTGCAAAGCATTTATTTAAAAACACTTCTGTTTCTATAATATATTTTAATTTTAATGAATAAAATGTTTTTTTTCTTCATTGCCTTTTTTAAAGATTGTGCATTTGAGGATAACTTAAATTTATAGTATAATTTTTAGACACAAGTGAATGTTTAAAGATGTTGTATTATGAATTTTTAATATGGTGTTAAAAAAGAAATATTTAATATTTATAAATAAGTTTGAAGTTAATAACTTAAATCATCGTAAGAACCCAATACTAGTTTTCGGTCTTACGCATCACTGCTCTACAGACGTCTCTGTTACGTGTACGTCTTTTTTAGTCTCTTACGTCAAGTGCGGTTAGTGTTCAATTAGTTGATAACACTACCGGACGCACGATCCACCTCTACAGTTTCTCTCTCCAAATATGCTTTAAATACTTTTTCCGCTGGCACATCATCATCCATTCTCACGACATTACCAAGCCAGCGAAGTTGCTGGATGTTAATTCGCTAATTTTTATCAGTGTCGTTTATAGTTAATTGCGATGCGGCAGTTATTGTCAACTCGTAGAGGGCTAAAGATCTTACAAAAAACTTTTTTCTCCAAAACTCCCAACGCTGCTTCATCATTCTGTGATAGTATCTATGTTTCTGTGCCATACAGACGCATAAGTAGGATGAACGAGCTATAATGAGCGCAAGTTTTCCTGTCGAGAAAAAGTTCTACATCCTAATTACCTATTGAGATCATAGTACTGCCTATTGGCTATGAAAATTTCTTGTCGTAGCTCTAAGTTGCCAAGTTAGATAAAAGCCTTGAATACAGAGATGTACAACCATCAGTGACATGTAATATGTAACACACTTTATATCTGAGCAGAATTTGATACTAACATATGGTATGACTGATCATTTCTACTTAAATAGGTTTTGGCAAGTACCTAAGTTAATCTAACTAATTGACCCACAATAATGACACCTTTAAAAAACGTACCTCAACTTGTATTTTCCAATGCCAAATGCAAACATCCAGCTTTAATACCGAGACATATTAATTGCGGGTTACTATATAACCAAAAAAGTTAGTGGTAAAGGCTAGTGCAAGTCCTGACCACTTCCCTGTTTACAAAGATAATGTCCCTGTTTACAAAGATAAATATGTAGTGCAAGAAAGTGATGTGGATTGGAGCTTATACAAAACAGAAAAAACAAGAAAAAAAAAACAAAAACCAAAAAGGTAACAATATCAAAAACTCAGGCACATCAGAATTACTTGCTTTCTGGAGAAGCTTTATTAATGAAAAGTCCCCTCAAAAATAGCAGAAATATTCAACAAAATATTAGAGAATGCCACGCAGTTCACATTTACTGTTCCGTTGCTCCGGATAAATTACTCCCTATTGATCAAATTACTCCATATTGATTTATAGATTCGCTTAATTGAAGTGGTTCTACCTTTACTCAAGCAATGATTCCCCATCAGCTTCTTTATTATAGCACCCAATACCCTCTTCACCATGTCCTTTTATTCTAGTGGTAACTGCTTTTCTACCTTGAATCATACGTTGGCTTTACACAATAGTCAATTGAACTACTACGTATTATTCTCTTGCATAAGGCTGTGCTTCAGGCAGCGGTAGTTGCAATCCACCGGTTCAGAAACCGGTAGTTGCACTACCAAATTGAATAAAACTTGTACCTGACAGTTATTTCAACTAAAGAAAAACCAACTCAGTACTATAGAAACGTTACTGTGAATAAGGCATAATCCAAAAGTCATATAGGATTTTTCAGGCTCACGAAGCTAGGAACCAATCCCAGGTAAAAGCACAACATTCTTTATAGTAATAAAACTTAATGTATATGAAAGAAATTAACACCTCACAATTTAGTTATCACTTTGATTTATAAAGTGCTGTTACATAGCATTAATGTGCTGCAATATTGCTCCCTATTTTTACATCTATGTTTTCATATTGAATTTCATAATTTTTTAATGATTCTTCGCCTTTGAATAATATCAGTATTAGTAAGTGCAAATTTAATCACTTCTTTGATTTATAAAGTGCTGTTATATAGCATTAATATGCTGCAATATTGCTCACTATTTCTAAATCTATGTTTTCATATTGAATTTCATAATTTTTTAATGATTCTTCGCTTTTAAATAATATTAGTTTTAGAAAGTGCGATGGATATACACAGCAATTTTTAGACCTATAGTCACCTACGGATCAATAGTCTAACAGAACAGTCCAAAACAGCAAAGCGTTATCAACACACTCAACAAGTTACAAAGACTTGTATGTGTAAGCATAACGGGAGCAATAAGAACGTCATCAATTGAAGTACTCTTAGAACTCGCACCTCTTCACATCTAAGAGTAATTATAACAGTGAGAAATCTAATAATTTGGCTACACAAATGCTAGAGACTGAAATGCCAACGGACAGGATGATTATAAAGCATGACTTTACAAAAAATTTCAAAACTGAACTTGGCAACAAAAAGAATTAGGAAGGTTTGTCTAAAAGCCAAATAATAAAAGAAAACATGATAACATGCTATACAGACGGTGTATAAGGACCAGGCAAAAGATACAAGCGGAAATATACGCAATAGATAGTTTCAACATTGACTGTAACTACCAAAACCGTAAAATTGCAATAATGACTGACAGATAGGCAGCTATAATGGCAATTCGATCCTATCAGGTAACATTCAAACTGGTATGGGAGTGCATTAACACGTTAAACATACTCAATCAGGTGTATTTAATATGGATTCCGGGGCATGCTGGTAACCTTTCTGTGATCTTGGCTAAGGAACTATATCCATTCTTATGAACGGCGTTGAGGAAAAAGAAGTTTTTTGGGAAAGGCTACTACAACTATCATAATCTATAGTACTATTAAGGCCTTACAACCTAAAATGCTTTAAAGATTGCATAGAATAATCAAAAATAATCACCTATCGAAGTTAGGAATTCAATCCAACTCAGACAGCAGATACTGTCTGATAAAACTGCAAACCATGTATTTGGAGAGTGCCCGGCACTGATGCACAAGCGGAAGAAATACTTAGGATGGTGTATAATGGATCATAAGGATTCAAGACTAGGAAAGATATGCTCTATACTGTCTGCCATTGAAGAAATTGGAATTGGAGAAACACTCTAATCCAACTAAGGGGCACAAAAGACCTTTTAAGACGCAGTGCACTACCCCTTTTCAACTAGTAATAATAATAATATGATCCGTTAATATTTTCATCATGGTTTTGATTTTCACAATACCATAAATTCTGTGGTATTACTTTTATTTGTTTCTAGATTACTAGATATTAACACGTAATATTTCTTTCAAAAATTTCAAAAAGTAAACTCAATCTTTATAAATGTTCGCTGTGTGAATTAGCCATACGCCAAAACCTACATCGCATTTTTCTTACGAAGATATCGCAATAACAGTCGAACTATATATTCTTTTAAGTAATTATATTAAATATTCATAAAGCAAATAAATACTTCACGTTAAATTCAATTTCCTTTATATACAAATTTGATTACTGCATTGATTTAAAAAGTGCTGTTTTATAGAATTTTAGTGCTACAATATTGGTCACCAGCATTTTTTCTCTTAAAAGTTCTAGAAAGAGTTGCTGCTTCACATATCACGGGTACCATTTAATCTACACATTTCTACCTACACTTAAAGCATGTCTATGGACACAGCACTTTATGTACAAATCTTTTTAACATATGCTTAAATTCCATTATGAAATCCTTCTAAAATTTTAAATGAATCCATTATTGTTTTGGAACATATTCCAAGTAGTATATTATATATTTTTAATTTAGACTAATATACAATAAGTTAATAGTTAATTTGTTTTATTTGAAAACTATGAGTTACAATATTTTTGAAAAACATTAATCGCTGTCTTTGTGATTTGTCATATTCGTTAAATTATAAAATAAATTTTAATAAATATCATAACTTTAATAAATCCGAATATTTTCTTTTTCGATCGAAATTATATTTCATGCAGTGAAAATGATAATTTTAAATGCATAGTAAAAATGTTTTGAGTGCTCGGCAAGAGCATTTTAGCGGGCATGTTGAAAAGCAATTAAATAAACGCATAAAAAACTATTTTTTATGGTTTGCATCTGTCAAGAAAACGTGGATATAAGCAAACTTCTCTGATGTGGTAACGGTTCAGCAACCAACACAGTAAGCGCTCTAAGCCCAAACCATAACCACCATGTGGTTGTGTGCCGTAGATACGCTGATCCGTATACCAATAGTAAGGAGTCGGATCAATATTTTCACGTTCATAACCTTTCAGTAATTCATCGTTGTCGTATATCCTCATAGAACCACCAACTATTTCGCCCACATTCGGTAGTAAGACATCTACACTTTCTGTAAGATTTTTATCCTCTGGACACTTAGACATATAAAACGATTTTATGTTAACTGGAAAACGACATAACATTATGGGCTCATTAATGGCATCAGTCATCTTGCGTTCCGGCGCTTCTGGAATGTCCTATTAATAAATAATAATTGATCAATTAAGTGGAAATTCAGTGAATACCGAAATAAGTTAAAATAAAATATAATCTTATATATAAAATTAACGTGGTCAAAATGTTAGTTACCGTACTCCTCCGAAACGGCTTTACCGATTTTTACCAAATTTTATATGAGTATTCAGTAGGTCTGAGAATCGGCTACTATCTATTTTTCATACCGCTAAAGTGATTAGGGAGTCCCTACCCAGCAAAAATATCCTTAGTGCTTAACAAAAAATTTTTTATTTTTTTGACATAAATTTTGTTTATATTTTTGAAAAAGAAAAATTATTTTCTTAATATTTTATGTAACTACGCCAACAAGTACATAGAGCATTTACATCGACTTCGTTCTTCGTCTTCGGCTTGCATGACAGATGGAAAATGTACTAAAAATTTTTCTAAAGATTTCACTAATGATACTATAACAAATACTGACGGATATCCAATATATCGTCGAAGAAATCCCGATAATGGGGGACAATGGCGGGTGGTGCCGTATTCGCCTCTGCTAAGCAAGACATACAATGCTTATATTAATGTTGAGTTTTGCAGTTCTGTGAAGAGCATCAAATATATAAGTATGTCCATAAAGGCAGTGGTATGGCTGTGTTTAGAGTAAAAAATACTAATGTAAATGCTCCTCCAATAAACAAAAACGGTGAAATTACGCTCTACCAAATTGGTCGGTACATCAGCTCCAATGAAGCTGCTTGGCGTATCTTCGGTTTTCTAATTCATGAACGGGATCCAGCAGCTGTTCAGTTAGCTGTCCATCTTGAAAACGGTCAGCGTGTATTTTTCACGAACGAGACAGTGATTGATCGTGGTACAAATCCACCTAAATCTGCACTCACTGCATTTTTTGAATTGTTTAATAGTACGGATGATTTTGGTGCCTTTGCAAAAACATTACTCTATTCACAAGTACCACGCTATTTCACATGGCCTTAAACAAAAAAATGGATGCCCCGCAAGCAAGTTTCACCAGTTGATGCATGTCTCAATTTATTTAAATCAAACGCTTATTTATAGTTAATCCAAGACACACTGAGTACTTTTATCTTCGACTGTTGTTGGTTAATGTTACTGGCCCATTATCATTATTATTATTTACAGTCAATCCAAGACAATTTAAATTTGAAGATACAACAGTTGTTGCCAGGGAACTTGGTATCATAAAATCTATTGATTTTAAATTAATAATTTAATAAATAAACTATAATAACTTAAAAATAATATTGTTTGGCGTTTGTTATTTTTATTATCCTTTTCGTTCATAGCGCTCCATGCCTATTTCATGCATATACCACATACTTACACACTTATAATAAGTAAGTTACTTTTTGTCTACACTAGAATTTATCTAGAAACTAGAAATAATTTATAAGGCAAAACAACGTTTGTCGGGTTATCTAGTCTTATATATAAAATTAACATTGTCAAAATGTTAGTTACCGTACTCCTCCGAAACGGCTTTACCGATCTTTACCAAATTTTATATGCGTATTCAGTAGGTCTGAGAATCGGCTACTATCTATTTTTCATACTGCTAAAGTGATTAGGGTGTCCCTATCCAGCAAAAATATCTTTATTGCTTTAACAAAAATTTTTTTATTTTTTTGACATAAATTTTTTTATATTTTTAAAAAAGAAAACTTGCTATGATATGAAAAGTTGTCTATGAAAATACTGAATTCATAAAACTGCCCCCTAATTTCTGCACTATCGTTGATTCCCAAAATGTTCTCATTGACCGCGTATTTCCAGATGTACACATACAATACAATAGTACAATAGTACGCGATTGGTAATTAAAAAATTGATGACAAACATTATCGAAGCCACAATTTTGAATGGCAAGTTCCGAAACGAAAAAGTTTTATTGACACGAATTCCAATGATTCTCACAGACAAGCCAATTTAATTCAACCATCAATAAGTCACAAGGCCAAACGATGTCCGTTTGTCGGGTCTTACATATAAAATTTCCATGTCACAATGTTAGTTACCGTACTCCTCCGAAACAGCTTTACCGATTTTTACCAAATTTTATATGCGTATTCAGTAGGTCTGAGAATCGGCTACTATCTATTTTTCATACCGCTAAAGTGATTAGGGAGTCCCAACCTAGCAAAAATATCCTTATTGCTTTAACAAAAAATTTTTTTATTTTTGACATAAATTTTGTTTATATTTTTGAAAAAGAAAAATTTTTTTCTTAATATTTTATGTAACTACGCCAACAAGTACATCGAGCATTTACATACACTTCGTTCTTCGTCTTCGCCTTGCATGGCAGATGGAAAATGTACTAAAAATTGAATCTAAAGCTTTCACTAATGATACTATAACAAATACCGACGGATATCCAATATATCGTCGAAGAAATCCCGATAATGGGGGACAATGGCGGGTGGTGCCGTATTCGCCTCTGCTAAGCAAGACATACAATGCTCATATTAATGTTGAGTTTTGCAGTTCTGTGAAGAGCATCAAATATATAAGTATGTCCATAAAGGCAGTGATATGGCTGTGTTTAGAGTAGAAAATACTAATATAAATGCTCCTCCAATGAACAAAAACGGTGAAATTACGCTCTACCAAATTGGTCGGTACATCAGCTCCAATGAAGCTGCTTGGCGTATCTTCGGTTTTCTAATTCATGAACGGGATCCAGCAGCTGTTCAGGTAGCCGTTCATCTTGAAAACGGTCAGCGTATTTTTTTCACGAACGAGACAGTGATTGATCGTGGTACAAATCCACCTAAATCTACACTCATTGCATTTTTTTAATTGTGTAATAGTACGGATGATTTTGGTGCCTTTGCAAGAACATTACTCTATTCACAAGTACCACGCTATTTCACATGGGCTCAAAAAAAAATGGATGCCCCGCAAGCAAGTTTCACCAGTTTATGCATGTCTCAATTTATTTAAATCAAACGCTTATTTATAGTTAATCCAAGACACACTGAGTACTTTTATCTTCGACTGTTGTTGGTTAATGTTACTGGCCCATTATCATTATTATTATTTACAGTCAATCC